CCCTCCCTCCCTCCCTCCCTTATTTCACCTCTGCTCTCTCTCGCTCTGGTCCTCTGGCACTCTCTGCTCTGCACAAATATATATATTTGATTTCAGAGAGAGGAAGGAAGAGGGAGAGAGAGAGAGAGAGAAACATCAATGATGAGAGAGAATCGTGGATCGGCTGCCTCCTACATGCCCCACGCTAGGGATCGAGCCCACAACCCGGGCAAGTGCCCTGACTGGGAATCGAACTGTGACCTTCTGGTTCGCAGGTCGATGCTCAGACACTGAGCCACACACCGGCTGGGCTCTGCCCTTTGCTCTGCTGTGGACAGAAGGAACCCTCATCCGTGTCCCAGGGTGTCTGTTCTTTTCATGGCAGAGTCCCACCTCTGCAGAGCTCTCTCCACTGGGGACTCTTCACCTCCAGCTACAATTCACTCCGTGTCTCCAAGGCTCAGAGCTGGGCCCGGGGCAAAGATGAGTCACTGAGGAATGAATCCACCTTCCCTCCTTCCTCTCCAGCTGGGGCTGGAATGGGGATTCTCTGCCTCTCATTCCAGCTCCCTCCACCCCCCATTGTCCCTCTTAGGACCCAGAGAGGGAGAGAAGGGGTCAGGACTTGTTCTACCTCTTAACCTGCGCCTACGCTGTCCTTGTGAAAAGGCCACAGGTTGAAAGTGGGTGGCTTTCGGACCTCCTTTTGACGGGGCGGGGAGCGGGGGGGTCACAGTAGAGGAGAACACCTCGGTGTGAATTCCTAGGCCAGTGATGGCGAACCTATGACACGCGTGTCAGAGGTGACACGCGAACTCATTTTTTTGGTTGATTTTTCTTTGTTAAATGGCATTTAAATATATAAAATAAATATCAAGAATATAAGTCTTTGTTTTACTATGGTTGCAAATATCAAAAAATTTCTATAGGTGACACGGCACCAGAGTGAAGTTAGGGTTTTTCAGAATGCTGACACGCCGAGCTCAAAAGGTTCGCCATCACTGTGCCCTAGGCGGACCTTCCCTCCAACTTTCCTCCCGGTCCGTGACGTGGGAAGGTTACCGCGCGAGTGGGCTGTGCGTGAGGTCATTGCTGACTCCTGAGCACAGGTGGGAAGGATCGTCACTGTGTCCATGTTCCCGGCACACACGGAGGGGGGCTCAGGACATAGGAGAAGGGGTGTGAAGGAGGGGTGCCTAAGTGTCCCCACTTTTTCCGAAGGAAGAGACATTTACTGAAATCGAAATTCTTCCCCTGGTTGTGCCTGGACAGCAGCTCAGCTCCCTCAACGAGGTCCGGGGAGGGGAGGAGGGAAGACCCAGGCCCAGCCCAGAGTTCCCGGGCTCTGTAGGCAGATTCGAGAGGTGCACAGTCCTGTCCCCCCGCTGTGACCCCATCAGCCCCAGGCTGCTGGCTTGGGCCTGCTCCTGGGTATCCCTGCCCTTCCCACATCAGCAGGGACACTCGCCACCGGCTCTTGGGGCACAGCACTGCCCCCCAGCCTCCGTGGCTTCCTCCGTGGAGGGGACACGGACAGGGGCTTCCTGCCCCGCCTGCACCTCTGCTTGGGGAGGAAGTCAGCGTCCCTGCCCCCAGCTGAGGACCCAGGTCCCTCCTCGGCTTCTCCCTCTCCTCTCTCACCACGTGTCCCAGACCCGGTTCCCGGGGCTGCTGCCCGCAGCGCCGTCTGCCAGGAGTTGGCTCCGCCCACACTTCTGAGTCCCACGCTCCGGTGCCCGGCTCGGTGCCCCGATGTGCGAAGCTGAATGAGAGACCAGCATCGCTCTGCAGAGGAGGGGGACACAGCCAGAAACAGCATGGAGCGGGGTGCTCAGGGCCTGGAGGGGGGCTGGGGCAGGGGTCATGGCTTCTGGCAGAAGTTGGCTGGCCTTGGAGCGGGTGATGACAGGAGCAGGAACTGTGATGGCCGGGGCGTGTGACACACACACGTCTTCCATTTGGGAGTCGGTTCTCTGGGTCTGGCCTCCTCCTGCAGCCTGACCT